TACATCCATCTCGACGCTTTGTTTACTGTTGTGCTGAACCACAAAATGGGCCCAGACAGACACAACGAGTTTGACGTCAGAGCTTCACAGCTCACAGCTGATTGGTCGGTGCACCGTCTACAACTTCCAGGGTTCTTGTAAAGCATCTAGTGTGTTCTGATGCTGACGTAGTTGCTGGAGGCGAGGGTGACACCAGACTGGCTAGAATAAACCACCCACTTACTTTGGAATGAAGTTTAATTCTGAATAAACATTTTCAGGAATGAAGTGTTTACATGGTCTTTTTAAAGTGGAATACATTTTTATTCAGAATGAAATTATTTTGATTCAGGATTAAAGCTCTCATGTAAACATGGCAATTGTAGCGTCCCATTATGTTTGGCTAATCAACAATTCCAACCACACCACCTTTTAAATGACACTTTCCTTAATCATTGACATTCCCTGGGGTTGTGATGCTAACTAGAGGCACTGCTCTGTCTGAAACTCTCACCTTTTTCATAGGACCAATGCTTGTATTGATCAAAAGGCTCTTGAAAGTGTGTTTTTAAAGCAATTCTGCACCTTTCCTTGAGTTTTCAGACCATTTTAAAAATCACAGTGTAGTATTAATTGATATTTTGCAGTGATGTCATGCGAGAGCTGTTTCACATGTATGTGTATATGCTCTACGCTTCCAACACAAACCAATCCAAACTGAACCAGGACTAAACCAAGACTGAACCAGGACTAACCAGGACTAAACCAGGACTAAACCAGGACTAAACCAGGACTGAACCAGGACTAAACCAGGACTGAAACCAGGACTGAACCAGGACTAACCAGGACTAACCACCAGGACTGAACCAGGACTAACCAGGACTAAACCAGGACTAACCAGGACTAACCAGGACTGAACCAGGACTAAACCAGGACTGAACCAGGACTAAACCAGGACTAAACCAGGACTGGACTGAACCAGGACTATAAACCAGGACTAAACCAGGACTGACTGACCAGGACTGAACCAGGACTGAACTAAACCAGGACTAAACAAGGACTGAACCAGGAAACTAAAACCAGGACTGAACCAGGACTAAACCAGGACTAAACCAGAAAAACCAAGGACTGAACCAGGACTGAACCAGGTCTAAACCAGGACTAAACCAGGACTGAACGAGTTATGTAGTATTGTCAAATACCTAAAGCCATAGTATGGAAATCGCTATGGAAACAGAAAAAACTGCATGTGTTCATCAGATTAGAACAACCACAAAAAAATGCACAAGGACACTTTTTCTTTTTTTTCATTTATACATTTTGTGTTGGTCCAAAAGATACAGTATATAACCATGTAACCTTTAGCCTGTAGTAGAAGTAGTAGTGGTACTAGTGGTAGTAATTGTTAGTTGTTGTAGTAGTATTTTTATGACATGTTTTTATATATAGTACTTGTAGTAGCAGTAGTAGTAGTTGTATTTTAATGACATTTTTATATAGTAGTAGTAGTAGTAGTATTTTTTCTTGACATTTTTGATATTTTTATATATAGTAGTAGTAGTAGTAGTAGTAATAGCAGTAGCAGTAGTAGCAGTAGTAGTAGCAGTAGTAGTGGTAGTAGTAGTAGTAGTAGTACTAACTGATGTTGTTGTGTTTTTATGTCATTTTATAAAAGCCTTACAACCATCTATTGTATACAATATATGGCCATGTAGTATTAATAGTAGTAGTAGTAGTAGTAGTAGTAGTAGTAGTAGTAGTAGTAGTAGTACCAGCTGATATTGTTGTTGTTGTTGTAGCCTTACAACCATCTATTCTATACAGTATATGGCCATGTAGTAGCAATAGTAGTAGTAGTAGTAGTAGCTGTTGTTGTTGTTTATTTAATTTTATATAGCCTTACAATCATCTTTCTATACATCATATAGTCTGTAGATAGTAGAAGCAGTAGTAGTAGTAGTAGTAGTAGTAGTAGTAGTAGTAGTAGTAGTAGTAGTAAATAGTAGTAGTAGTAGTAGTAGTATTTTTTGACATTTTTTATATTTTTATATATAGTAGTAGTAATAGTAATAGTAGTAGTAGTAGTAGTAGTATTTTTTGACATTTTTGATATTTTTATATATAGTAGTAGTAATAGTAATAGTGGTAGTAGTAGTAGTACCAACTGATGTTGTTGTTGTTGTTGTTGTGTTTTTATGTCATTTTATAATAACCTTACAACCATCTATTGTATACAGTATATGGCCATGTAGTAGTAGTAATAGTAGTAGTAGTAGTAGTAGTAGTAGTAGTAGTAGTAGTAGTAGTAGTAGTAGTAGTAGTAGTAGTAGTAGTAGTAGTAGTAGTAGCAGCAGCTGTTGTTGTTGTTGTTGTTGTATTTATGTCATTTTACAACCATCTTACAACCATCTATTGTATACAGTATATATAGCCATGTAGTATTAATAGTAGTGGTAGTAGTAGTAATAGTAGTAGTAGTAGTGGTAGTAGTAGTAGCTCTTATCTGGTCTCCTCCTATGCAAACAGGGCCCCTCCCCCTCTCCTCGCCCTGTCGTTGGCTCTGCGGCGCTGATCTGAACTGGTTTACGCCGGTCTGCAGTCGCCACAATGATCCAACGCCTCCCAACGCCCTCCATCCACCCAGCTCACGAGTACTGCAGTATTACCTTACCAAGTACTTCAACACGCACTAAACCAACCCCGGCCTGGAGCGCGAGGGAAAAGGTTCAGGGATGCGAAACTGCCGAGCTGTCGATGAGTCAGCAGGTGGTTGTGTGTGGAGCAGACGTGAACAAAGAAAGAGACTGAGGTGTTCAAGAGTCGCACGAGTCTGAGCAAAAGAGAAAGAAGGAAACAGTGAGAGGGGATTTTTATTTGTTTGGAAAGGGCTGGGTTTACGATATTTCAGAATTCAATATCACGGTTTCAGATAAACACAAAGGGCCTGTGTCTAAGGGTGACTCGTGTTTTTTTGGAAATCAGAAGCAAATTGGAAATCCAAGAATCCAGAACTGAAGCTTTAGTGAAAATGTGGTTTCATCAGAACACGCTGAACTTTGTAACATTTTTGGTTTCTTGCAGATACAGCAGAGATCTTATTGTTTTGTCTGGAAAGTTTCACAGTATGGCATTAAACTATCTACTTTCTATCTTTATGGAGACTAAACCAGACCATGTTACAGGTTAGATCTGTGGAGAGGCGACCCCGCTCACTGTCACAATGTCTGTTTTTCTACTTTCAGTTACAAATATAAGTCAAAGTAGATCTGTTTAAAATCTAAACCAGGTCTGAACCAGGACTAAACCAGGTCTAAATCAGGACTAAACCAGGACTAAACCAGGTCTGAACCAGGACTAAACCAGGTCTAAACCAGGCTAAACCAGGTCTGAACCAGACTAACCAGACTAACCAGGAAACCAGGACTGAACCAAACTAAACCAGGACTAAACCAGGTCTAACCAGACTAAACCAGGTCTGAACCAGGACTAAACCAGGACCTAAACCAGGACTAAACCAGGACTAAACCAGGACTAAACTAAACCAGGTCTAAACCAGGACTAAACCAGGTCTGAACCAGGACTGAAAACCAGGACTGAACCAGGACTAAACCAGGTCTAAACCAGGTCTAAACCAGGTCTGAACCAGGACTAAACCAGGACTAAACCAGGACTAAACCAGGTCTAACCAGGACTAAACCAGGACTAAACCAGGACTAAACCAGGTCTAAACCAGGACTAAACCAGGAAACCAGGAAACTAAAACCAGGACTAAACCAGGTCTAAAACCAGGACTAAACCAGGACTAAACCAGGACTAAACCAGGACTAAACCAGGACTAAACCAGGTCTAAACCAGGTCCTAAACCAGGACTGAACCAGGACTAAACCAGGTCTGAACCAGGACTAAACCAGGACTGAAACCAGGACTAAACCAGGACTAAACCAGGCCTAAACCAGGACTAAACCAGGCCTAAACCAGGTCTGAACCAGGACTAAACCAGGTCTAAACCAGGACCAGGTAAACCAGGACTAAACCAGGAACCAGGACTAAACCAGGTCTGAAACCAGGACTAAACCAGGACTAAACCAGGCCTAAACCAGGTCTAAACCAGGACTAAACCAGGTCTGAACCAGGACTAAACCAGGACTAAACCAGGACTAAACCAGGACTAAACCAGGACTAAACCAGGACTTAAACCTGATCACATTGTGGAACATATGAAGCAGAGTAATGACATGACTCCATAGAAACAAGATGGTAACAGAACCCCCAACCAAAAAGTTCCATAGTGCAACTTTAACCAGTAATCATTTGAAATTTAACCTTTAATGGGCCAAACTGCCAAACCACAGATCCACTTTATACCAAAATATTCTTAGTTTTCGGAAAAAGTCCTGAAAATATTGTAGTAGTAGCAGTAATATCAGTTAGTACTAAAAGCATCTCTTACTCATGGTTAGAGAACATTACACAACACTGCAGCTTCAACGGAATCTGCTTTTTCCATCACAAACACGTTCCTTCCACCGCACGCTCCCCTCCTCGTCTTATTTACAGCAGACACCGAATGTGGGTCAACAAAGAGGGGGTCCCCGACTGCACCGTCATCTCTTATCTCCGTCTCCCCACAGCACCGAGGGACCCCCGGCTGGATTCAACAACACCCACTGCCCCGACGTGATAACTTGTTTTGGAAAATACGATTCACTCGACCCGTTATGACCCCAATTACTTTTGTTTTTGACCTTGTGACCTCTAGATAAGGACAAGATTTCAAACTGGTGACATTTTAGGATGAGAATTCTACTTTTAAATCACCTTTACTTGACCCGTACGACATTGGTTTTTTTTGGATTTCCACGACCTTTGACTTTTCGGGATGAGCTCATTAGTGCGATGTCAGCTTTCAAATTACGCACATTTTTGGGTTAAAACTCTACGTTTAAAGATGTATTTGTGTAATTTCCGTGCTTTGAACGTGTTTGGTGCATGGTGCGAGACAATAAGGAGAGGAAAGGGCATATTTTTGTACACAAGTGAATAATTTATTGTAAAAAAACATTAGGAACGGAGCATCAATTGCAAAAAGACATTGTGCTTGTATGACAACAACAGTGGTCATTTTTACTTCTTCATATGACAAGAGAAGGCGTGTGTTCCGGACAGGCATATTTGAAAATTATGCACACAAAAAATGGATAGGAATAGTAGTACAAAACGTCTTTTACGTCGGCACTGCGTGGGAATGAGTCCGTGCATATTCCAACAGTCACAGTAAAGTCTCTTCGCGTGCACAAAGCGTCACGTGCATCCACAGTTTGAGGGATTCAAGTTTCGAAGGCAATCTCGTAGTAGTATTTCCCTTCACGTTTACGCGCTGGACCGGCTCGGCACCGCGCGTCCACCTCTTGAGCTTTTGGAGAGGTCATTTTACGCATGGCCCAGTCGCTGCCATCCGCGCGTAAAAGTAACCAGTTCACCATTTTACGCACTCAGGGTGACGTCCCCGTAGTGTCAAAACGACGGGTGGGGAAAGTTCGTCTCAGCATCCCGCTTCTAGGAGCTCGTACTGGTCCGTTCGTTCATCGGATTCTGAGCAGCTGGCGAACCATCCCCGCGATCTGCAGAAATTTGTCCTTTTTGCGCTGCTTCAAAGCCATGAGCGCTCTCGACGTCTCCTCCGGGTCGTGGGAGTACGAGAAGATACTCCGTACGCGCTCCTCCGCCTTCATGTCGCCCGTTTTCTGGAAGAGACGCATCACCGCTTCTTGGTTCACGTTCTCGAAGATGTTCCCCACGGCCTTTTTGCGGTGCGCCGTGTCGAAGCGGTTGCCGTACGCGGACGGGGTGACGCGCCGGGACTCGTAGTAGCTGGCGTAGGTCGACATGTTGTTATTGCTGCTGCTGTTGTTGTTCACGGGGCTCGCGTTGCGCTTGGAGACGGTCTGCAGGTCGTCTCTGGTTTTGCGTAAAAGCGCGAGAGCCCGTGGAGAGAGCGCACGGAATGGAGCGGAGGAGCGGAGCGTCGGGCTTTATAGGAGCTGGACTCACGGGGGAAGCCTCTGCCTCAGCTGATCTCATCCCCCAAGCTAAGCCACGCCCACTGCAGGGAGCTCCTCCAATCAGGAAACCCCCAGTGCACAAAGCCACAGAGCCGAGCTGAAATGTATTCATTGTTTACGAGCGCAGAGACAAAGGACACACGAGGATGTAGAAACCATTTGTTTACCTTTTATAGAGCGACGTTATATTTAGATGAAATGTGTTGGCACGATTAGGGCTCTGCAGAAATATCGAAATACTCCTATATCGTATCGTTTAATACATTATCGATATCGTGGGCTGCTGTATCGAAGTATGTTTTGGTATTTTACAAAATTATTTTGTTACAGTTACAGTTTTTGTCAAACCAGGACTAAACCAGGACTAAACAAGGACTAAACCAAGTCAAAGCCATGCACTAAATCAATCAGGTCAAAACAAGGACCAAACCAGGTCTAAACCAGGACTAAACCAGGTCTAAACCAGGTCCAGGACTAAACCAGGTTTAAACAAGGTCTAAACCAGCACTAAACCAGGACTCAGCCAAGTCAAAACCATGCACTAAATCAGATAAAAACTAGGACCAAACCAGGACTAAACCAGGACTCAACCAAGTCAACCTTGTTGTGTTTGGAAAGCAGGTCTCACTCGACCTCTTCTGTCCCCAACGTTTGTTTTTGACCTTATGACCTCTGGATCAGGACGAGCTCTTTATCAAACCAGGACCAACGTAAAAAAAAATAAAAATAAAATAAGTAAATAAAAAAGTATAAAGGCTAACCCAGGTTTAAACCAAGACTAAACCAGAAATAAACCAGGACTAAACCAGGTCAAAACAAGGACTAAACCAGGACTAAACCAGGACTGAAGCAGGACTAAAACTAAACCAGGACTAAACCAGAACAGGACTAAACCAGGACTAAAGCAGGACTAAAGGACTAGGGACTAAACAGGAGGACTGAAAGCAGGACTAAACTAAACAGGACTGAAGCAGGACTAAACCAGGACTGAAGCAGGACTGGACTAAAGGACAGGACTAAACCAGGACTATGAAGCAGGACTAAACCAGGACTAAACCAGGACTGAAGCAGGACTGAAAGGACTAAAGGACTAAGAAGGAAAGCAGGACTGAAAGCAGGACTAAAGCAGGACTAAACCAGGACTGGACTGAAGCAGGACTGAAGCAGGACTGAAGCAGGACTAAACCAGGACTAAACCAGGACTGAAGCAGGACTGAAAGCAGGACTAAAGCAGGACTAAACTAGGACTAAAGGACTAGGACTAAACCAGGACTGAAGCAGGACTGAAACTGAAGCAGGACTGAAGCAGGACTAAACCAGGACTAAACCGTGACATTGAAGGATGGGTCAAATGCAGAGGACACGTTTCCCTACGGGGACAATAAAATCGACCATAAAAATTCATTGTGTAACTTTTCCGGTGGAGGGTCCATCAAGGGATTTTTTTTTTTGCAAACCAGACCAAGTTAGAGGTCAGATCTGTGGAGAGGCGACCCCCAATCACAGTCAGAATGTCTGTTTTTATAGGTATTTTTGAGCTTTAAAACTACTGTAATTGACTAAATGTAAAGTAGAGCTGTTTAATGTCACACTGTGGAACATTCCAGACAGAGGAGTGGCATATCCAGAAAAGTGAATTACCTCGACGACTTCTGATCAGGCCTGTCATGATTCCATACATGCTTAATTTGATTTTATTTAGCCTACTACACTCAAATCTTATTGTAGGACAGAAAAATACCAAAAAGTTTCCCGTTACTACAAAGAAAACGTTTTATTATTCCATCTATCATTTATTTAAGTCAATAAAGTAATCACGGTGACAGGTCCACTTCTGATAACAGAGAGCAGATCCTCTCTTTATAAACTGGTCATTATCAACACAGCGAGCGTCGTCCCGCAGGCCCCAGCGTCCACGCCTTATAAGGAGACAGGAAGCCGGGGACAGCCAACCAGGAAGCGCTTGTTTTTGTGTTTCTTCGGTAAGTGAAGTGGCGCAGTGGAATCCCCGGCATGTGGCACTGGCGTTCGGTTGCACCAAGAACAATACATGAGTTCGGACTGAAACAATAAGGCAAAGGCTCAAGGACGCGGCGAGAGCGCTGCAGGATACATGTGTGGAGATGGCAGGGCTCATGTTGAAAGAAAGAGGCGAAAAACATGCCCGAGTCAAAAATTCTAACTATTTTCCAGCATTTTCTTTCCTGTAAATAACAAAATATGAAATTCCTTCGGTTGGCGGACTGGCAGCTCAAAAAAAAAGTCTGTCACTATGTACGGGATGTTTGGCTCTGAGGTGGAGCTCTCCGTGACACAGACGCGAGTTATAACTAGAGAGCTGGTTTCCTGGGATACAGGATACACACTTCTCTAATTGATGCTTTGCTGATGATGTCGTCAGAATTCCCTGCAGCTCTGTTCCTCAAATAAGGCACAATCTGAGCTTCATTTGAACACAATCTGAGCAGAAAGAGCTGACCTAGCAATACCAAGATATAGACATATGACAGGTTTTTTTTATTCTGAATTAACTGTTCTGAATTAAAATATTCTCTTTTGAGTTTACAGTACCGTTCAAAAGTTTGGGGTCACTTAGAAATGTCCTTCTTTTTGAAGGAAAAGCACTGTTTTTTTTTTTTCAATGAAGATAACTTTAAACTAATCAGAAATACACTTTATACATTGCTAATGTGGTAAATGACTATTCTAGCTGCAAATGTTGTTTTTTGGTGCAATATCTACATAGGTGTTTAGAGGCCCATTTCCAGCAACTGTCACTTCAGTGTTTTAATGGTACAATGTGTTTGCACAATGTGTCTGAAGGCTAATGGATGATCAGAAAACCCTCACCCTCACTCTAACCCTAAACCCCACTGAGCTGTTGTGGGAGCAGCTTGACCTTATGGTACACAAGAAGTGCCCATCCAGCCAATCCAACTTATGGGAGGTGCTTCTATAAGTGTGGGGAAAAATGTCTCCAGATTACTTCAACAAAGTAACAGCTAGAATGCCACAGGTCTGTAATGCTGAAATTGCTGCAAATGGAGGATTCTTTGGCGAAAGCAGTTTGAAGGAAAAAATATATTATTTCAAATACAAATCATTATTTCTAACCTTGTCAATGTCTTGACTATATTTTCTACTTCATTTTACAACTCATGGTGTAAATAAGTGACTTTTCATGGAAAACACAAAAATGTCTGGGTGACCCCAAACTTTTGAACAGTAGTTTACATGGAAATAATAATTCTGAATTGAGGTTTACATGGAAAACACGTTAAATCATCTTTATTTAATTCGGCTCAGCGTCTGGGGTGGGGAAGGTTCTGATTGGACAGAAACACCAACAGATTTACGTATTTGGGAAGAAAACACACACTTCAGCTGCTTTTCTGTCATCTCGGTTTGTCGTTACGATACGGACACAAACATGATCCAAACTTTTTCTGCAGTGGTTCCGATGATTGAGTGTCCGAGAAAGGAGGAAGATGACAAACTGAGTCAGCAGCTGCTTTACCTCGGCCCACTCCTAGTCAGACTGGCACCACCTAGCGCTTCCACTCAATTGAATTTCTCTCCAGCGACTAGGTCAGGAATCGGAATACGATAGACGGTTCGCAAAAACCCCGGAAGTGCAAGTTCGGGCACCAGCCAATCCACAAAGAATTTATATATATATATATATATATATATATATATATATATATATATATATATATATATATATATATATATATATATATATATATATATATATATATATATATTTGCAAACTACATAGATTACATACAAATAGGGACAAAGGTGACAGGGGCTGGTGACAGTGTGGACCTTGTGTGTGTGTGTGTGTATGCGTGTGTGCATATGTGTGTGTGTGTGTATGTGGATAAGCGTGCGTGTGTGTGTGAATGTGTGTACATGTGTGCATATGTGTGTGTGTGTGTGTGTGTGAACCACCTCCTGGTCTGAATGAGTCATATATTCAGTGTTGTCAACAATTTCTGTGATGGAGGATTTAAAGCTGGAACAAAGAGAATGTTTGGTGAATTTTATCAAGGGGAAAGACGTTATTGTTCTTCTTCTTACGGGATTTGGGAAAAGCTTCATATACCAGTTAGCCTCTTTAGCGGCGCATTACATACGTCACGACCAAATAGCAGCGATTGGTTAGATGATAAAAAGTACCTGCCTACCATCGAGCGAACGAAATCTAAGGCTGCGAGGTCAGACGGATTGTACAAAGTGAAACAAATTAAATGAATTAAATGGGTTAGCCTGATTGTACATCGTCTTATTGTCTTCTGGGAGACGCTGGTGTCATTTTCAATTAAGAAAAAACTTGCTGGTTGAATAAAAGTAACTTTAAATCAAAATTTGTCAGGGGTATGAATAATTTTGGGTTTGACTGTACAATAGTATCTTAACACCTCTGAGTGTGGCGTGAATGAAAAACGCTGCAAAGTGTTTTAGGTGTCGCTGTTTAAATCCAATGAAAAGCGGCTGAGTTAGTGTTTAGTTCCACTTTATTATGATGGATTACCAACATGTATGGAATAAACACAACTCAGTGCAGGTTTTGATAGGTAAATACTCCCCAAAAGTGCATTTATCAGATAACTTCAATGTTTATGTAGTGACGCGTCCCTCCCTCAGCCTCACTCTGAACAAAGCGTGTGTTTGTGGATCAGTCAAACATGTGGAGCGGGGCATTGTTCTGGAGCCGGCCCTGAGCGGACACTGTGTCGCCAAGAGGTATACATGTGTCTGAGGCCGACCCGCGGGACATTATATATGAGCTTTATGAGAGTCAAAACAAACGACGCAAGACAAGTGTCAATTCTGGCCCAAAAAAAAAAAAAAAAGGTTGTGATGACGTTTACGCCGGCGCAGCTTAAAGGGTCAGGTGGAAATCTGCTCGTACTATCTAACTGGGTACTGCAATTTTCCAACTCGAA